AGTAGCGCTCCCGGCTAAGACCATAGACCAGGGCAGGGCCCCAGACGTCCATGTGCAGTGTTTGTAGCGACACTGTGGTAGGAGGAAACGAGGAGGAGTGAGGGGCGGCGCACTGCCGACCCTCGACGCAGGAGGTGCACAGTGGCGCTACCAACGGAGGCAGGGAAGGTAACGACGCAGGGAGACTAATGACTAGACCATGCTGGGACATGGTGTTATTCGTGCAACAGCTGTGGCGGAGGAGTTTGCTAGTGCGACGCGAACAGGCGCAGAAAGCGGGGTAAGAGCAAGACTTTCTCGAAAAAGCACCGAGACGAGGACAAAGGAGAGGGCCGACGTGGTGGAGCCCAGTGAAGAGTCTCTAACAGGTCCTACGCCTGATGTAGTAGGGGATTCTACGCCTGACTCAGCAGGGGATCCTAGACTACACACAGCGGTAGCTCCAAGGCTACAAACAGCATGATAATAAGAACTAGCAACACTATAAGCATTAGAATACAGAGAATACAAGGCATGATTGATCTGAAGCATATCCATATCAAAGATAGAAACCCCACGACGAAGCAAGACATGTCAGGGGGTACCTATACCAGCGGGCCGAACTGACGACGGTAGAGGTCGTCCAGGCGGCGGAAGCAGCAAGCGGCGGTGTGCCCCTTGCGCTGGCACACGTGGCCCGCCTGCGGGCCAGTCAGCAACTGGTACGTGCAGGTCACCGCGCCACCAGAACCACCAGCACCCAGACTCACAGAAGAGCCACGCGACTCAGGGCCCCGACTGCCCTGGGCCCCAACCCCCACGGCCTTCTCCATGACCACCACCCCCAAGGTCCGTCGGCCCCCACGACTGCTGCAGTTGCTGCTGCTGCTGCTGCTGCTATTGCGGCTGCTACCGCTACTGCTGTTGCTGCGGCTGCGGCTGCTGCGCAGTCCCTGACTCTGACTGACCACCCTCTCCATCCGCACCCGCACCCCCTCCACCCGCTGCTGCCGACCCCCCACGACCCTTGCCCCCCTTGCCCTTTCCTTTGTGGCTAGAGGAGCGACTAGGGGCAGAGGTAGCTGGTGCGGTCACAGCAACTCACGCAGAGGCAGGGACTGTCACTGGGGAGAGAGCGCTGCCCTGAAAGATAGGGACTGCCGACGCGCAGTGAAACGAGCGATGGCGCGGAGGCGGTCCTCGACCTCAGTCAGGGAGGTGGAGAAGAGGTCAAGGGTGAGCTCCGAGGGGTGACGAACGAGGAGCGTGTTGCGGGCAGGGGCTAGGCGGTCAGGGAGGCGGGTCACGAGGAAGTATATATTGGCGAAGAGGAGTGCTAGCTGGGCCTCAGTACAAGCCGCACGCCAGCGGGCCTCAAGGGAGCGCAGGTGCTCGACTAAGCCTGCTAGAGTGGTGAAGGACATCAGGTCAGGGTGGAAGAAAGGGAGGAGGAGACGACCAAAAGTGGCAGACGACGGGGTGGAGTACCTAGCAAGGATAGCCAGCCAGAGTGCGCGGGCTGACACAGCACCCACAAAGTGGGAGTGCTCGTCAACTGGCAGGCACCTGAGGATGGCGACGAGAGCAGTGGCATCGCGGGACGCCCAAACAGAGTAGGCAGTACGAGCAGCAGCATGCACAGCCTGTTGCGCGGACGTCACGTCAGTAGGAAGAGCACCCGGGCGGGGGACAGTAGGGAGCTCACCAGAGACGTGGGCGTCCAGGGATTCGTCATCGACGCGCTGACTCATGAGCTGAAGGAGAACTGCCTCCTGCCAGGCGGCGAAACCGACTGCCCGCCCCTCCCCATCCAGGCACAGGACGAAGACGCCAGGCGACGCCATGCTGGCAGCTGCGGCCGGGAAGGCAGAGGCGGCAGAAGCAGGGACAGCGAGGGCAGCTGCTACAGGGGCAGTCGGGACTGGGGCTGCAGCGGGAGCTGGTGGTAGCGGCGGATGCTAGCTAGCAGCGGGATGGTAACGGCGGTGGGCCAGCAGTGAGCTGGCTAGCTGCGGCAGCTTTGCAAGCTGGCTAGCGGAGGCGGCTGCGTAGCTACGGGCGAGCTGCGGCAGTGGTGGCAGCAGCGGCTGCAGTGGCAGTGGCTGCTGGAAGCAAGAGCAGTGGCAGTGGTGGCTGCAGCGGCAGTGGCAACTGCAGGAGGCAGCGCAGCAGCTGCAAGGGCAGCGGTGGCAGCGACGGCTGCAAGGGCAGCGGCGGCAGTGGCGGTTGCAATGGGCAGCGGCGGCAGCGGCAGCTGCAAGGGAAGCGGCGGCAGCGACAGCTGCAAGGGCAGTGGCGGCAGCGGCGGCTGCAAGGGCAGCGGCGGCAGTGGCGCTGCAAGGGCAGCAGCTGCAGCGGCAGCTGCAAGGGCAGCGGCGGCAGTGGTGGCTGCAAGGGCAGCAGCTGCAGCGGCAGTGGTGGTAGCGGCAGCAGCAGCGGCAGTGGCAGCAGTGGCAGCAGTGGCTGCGGCAGCGTTAGGGACTGCAGCAGTTGCAACAGGGGCAGTGGTGGCTACGGCAGTGGCAGCGGCGGCAGCGCAAGCGGCAGCAGCGGCAGTGGCAGCAGCAGTGGCGACAGTGGCAGCGGCGGCGGCGTAAGTGGCTGCCGCGGCAGTAACTGCAGGAGCTGCGGCAGTGGCAGTAGCTGCAGAGCAAGCGGCAACAGTGGCAGCTGTAGCAGTGGCAGCGGCAGTAGCTTCAGTGGCAGTGGTAGTGGCTGCCGCGGAGAGGCACTACTGGCAGTAGTGGCGGCGACAGCAGCAGCATTGGCAGCGGCTGCAGTGGCAGTGGCGGCTGCAGTGGCAGCGGCTGACTGTGGCTGCAGCGGCAGTGGCAGTCGCAGTGGCGAGCTGGCCAGCGACGAGCTGGTAGGCGCTGCGGACGACTAGCTGCTGGCGGCGAGCTGGCGGAAGCCGTTGGCAGCTAGTTGGCTGATGCTGCTGGCGACTAGCTGCTGGCGGCGAGCTAGCGGAAGCTGCTGGCAGCAAGCTGGCGGGTGCTGCTGGCAGCAAGCTGGCTAGCACCGCTGGCGGCGAGCTTGCTAAGGCGGCTGGCTAGTGAGCTGGCTAACGAGCTGGCTAGCGAGCTGGCTAACTGGCTGGCTAGCTAGCTGGCGCGTTGGCTGGCCAACTCGCTAGTGTGCTGGCTGGCGTGCCGGTCTGCTGACTACCGCACGAAAGGAAAAATCGAACGCTAGAGGGGGGGGGGGGAGCTCGAGGCTACGAAGCGTGAAATTGGAGGGCAAGGGGGTGCGCGAAATGGAAAGATTGTCACATGCGCGAAAGAAAGAAGCTACAGTAACGGCGGAAGCGTGAGTAACGGCAAAAAAAAAAAAAAAAAAAAAAAAAAAAAAAAAACCTAACCTGGCTCAATACGATGTTAGAGTAGCAGGAAAGTTGTGACTAAGGGAAAATGTCGAGGGATACAAAACTAGGGCTGTACTCACTAAGAACTAAACTAGCTAGGCTATAAACAAATATGACCTAGCTAAGCAATATAAATATATTTGTTGACAATACATACATATTTATAGTCTAGGAAGTACCTATTCGGATGTACCTGTTCGTAGTGTATCGCAACTATTCGCGTAACATGACTAGTGTCCGTTCGTGTGACCGAGAGTGGCGTAACCCTTCGGGTGACTATACGCGCAAACCTACTGTTCACGCATTGACTCGCTACTGTTGACATCATCACGCGCGTCCTTCCATATGAGGTATCGCGCTGCTAGTACAGTCTAAGTATGATATCAAGAATGCATAAGTAAACTTTCTCAAGTATACTTCAACACGAAGCTCATTAAACTTCCCAACCACATGTTGTGGTTGGGATATTCCAGTCACATCGCGGTGCCATCCAATAAACTGGGCCAGTTTATTGCCGTCGAGCAGGGCCCCTGATGTCAAATTATGCATATTTTATACATATTTGTTTAGGCTTGGTAGTTGTGCTACATTGCTGAATCCTATTGTAGAGAGGACAACCCCCCCTTCTTGTATCTCCTTCTCTTTCCTAGTGGTCCCCTTTTCTCTCGACAATTCTTCTCCCCTAGCCTAAACCTCTCACTACAAATCCTATGCCTAGCTCCTAACCTAGCCTTTTAACACCTGATAGCAACAGGGTGATAGTAGTTTCCCTGCAAAACCCCCTGCAGTGTGGCCCTAAAACCAAATTTGGGCCCTGCTTGGGAAGTCCTCTTACTAGTGCAAGGGAGACAAGCGGGTGAGTTAAGATTGCTGCATAAGAAACAAGGTTATACCATAATCCCCTATATATAACACCCGCCGAATTAGTCACTCCATGGGTGGCTTATGCGGGGGATAGCTTATGATATGGCACATTTTCTAGAGTACCTGCTTTTCTGGGTTTGCATTATACGTAACACCCTGCTCGCTTTTCTTTCCTAAAAAAAGTATTTGGTCCTTCATTACCAAGGTCCACTCAGCTGCAAAAAGCGAGCAGGACGAAAATCGCGTCAGCTGCCATTAACGGCGCAAAAACGGGCAGAAGAATCAATACAAGTGGCAGAGCAAAATCGGAAGTCAACGAGTGTCGAGAGGATCTCTCGACCGTCCATCTTGCAGGTGAACCACCTCGATCACGTCATCAATGGTCGAGAATATCTCGACCGCTTTCCGAAACACGGAACTGACTCTGTTCACAGCGCTCAGCAGAGATTGGTCAAGGACATGTGGCACTGCTGGATCAATCTCCCGCTATTTTCTGATGCACCAGACTGACCCTATCAGAGTATGCAATCTCTGTAGCAGATTCCTCATTAGCAGCTGCTCCGTGAAGTACTGGCCTCACAGTGCCTGTTACAACCCAAATTCATTTTGCATTTCACATAAGACATGGGCTTTATATTTTTCCAGTCTACTGCTAACCCGCATTCGTATTACTTTTTTTTTTTTACAATACCTTAGGGTGTTATATACGGGGGAATATGGTACGAGCATGAGAGCACACAGGGTGTTTGATACACTCGACAATAAAACAGTACTTGGGCGTCTACAGCGTTACAGCGGAACTCTTAGCTCTCCTTCCCACTACACACTTCCAGACGAGCTACCCGAGACACCCATGCTCTTCACTCGAGCAATCTCAGCATCGAAATCCGCCTGAAACGAAGCGTCGATTTCCTCGTCAATGCGAGATGCAACCCTGTTTGCCTGCGCTCCAAAAGCATCCTCCCTCATCTTCACCAGATCTACCAGCACTTGGCTGATTGAGGGGCGGGAGGCCGTGGGCATGCCAGTGCAGGAGAGGGCAAGGCAGGCCAAGCGCAGCACGAGATCATCCGGTGCTTCCAAACAAGGGTCCTTGAATGTCGATACGGCATTGGATTCCACCAGTGGAGCCACCTGCACAGTTCGGAGGACATGCCACAGGGCCGATCCTTTGAAATAGCTCGGAAACAACAGATTTGAAAAGGTTACGGAGCATGGCATAGCATCGCCACCATAAAGGTTTTGTCCGGCTACCCTCACCTACTACGACTATCGTTGATTGTGTTGTCGTTTATGCCCCATTAATAGCTATTTGTGTCTCACCCATTTCCTGAGGTTGGTGTGAGTGTCCTCTGTCACGTGAACGGCCTTGCGTGCTGTGATGACCACCAGCATCACCACTCCGAAACTGCAAACGAGTGAGCACATCATTTGTTCGAATTCAAAGAACATAACTCGGCAAGAACACCTATTGCATACTTCTCATGTACCAAGCGGATTGCTGGAGTGATATTTTCATGCCCCTCTACTCACCTGTAGACATCTGCGGCTGGAGTGGCCTTGTGCGACTTGTAGTAGGCTGGGTCCACGAAGCCGGGTGTTCCCATCACTCGAGTGGCAGCCACCGTGGTGCCCATAGCGGTGCCTCCACTCAGCTTCACCAGCCCAAAGTCAGCAATCTTGGCCTGACCACCGATCACAAGAGCACCACCTTAAAAAATTATAAGTGTGTGGGCGACTCATGGCTGGTTGGTTCCAGGATATGGCCATCTGGTAATAGTGAGAGGATGGAAAGTGGTAGGAGAGCTATGCCTGCATTTGCGGAAGGGTTACACTTTTTAAACATGCCTGCATCTTTGCATCGAGGAGAATGTTGGCGGGCTTCATGTCGCGATGCACAATGCCGAATTCATGCAGGTACTGCAGCCCCTTAGCCACTCCAATCAGCACGTCCAACCGCTGCCGCAGAGAAAGGGGGTTGGCGACACCAGGTCCAACCCAGGTCTCGAGATCGTTGTTGTGCATGAGCTCGTACACCAGGATCTGCTCCATCTTCCGCGTTGCCGGGTTGAAGTCCAGGCAGTAGCCCAGCAGCCGCACGAGATGAGGGTGGTGCTTGCTTGCCATCTCCTTCACCTGAGAGGGAAAGGATAGTTAAAAGACGGGTGGTGAGGAGATGCGAGGGAAGGGAAAATCCAGCATTGGCAGCAGATTCTTTTCAGTGTGTGAAAGAAATGTAGCAATTTCACAGTAGGATACCTCGATCTGAAAGTCATTGGAGAGAACTTGGGCACGTTTGACTGCCCAAGCTTTATTGCGATCGTAGGGAGACACGCCCTTGTACACATCCCCAAAGCTGCCGCTGCCAAGCCTGTTCTTTTCTGCCCACTCTTCAGTAGCCTTCTCCATATCTACCAGGGAATACTCCCGACACACATCTGGCCGTGCGGCCTCCACATCCACCACAGCACCAGGGTCGTCCCTCCCTCCTGCTGCTGCAGCAGCTGCAGCTGCAGCTGCCGCCCATCCTACTCCTGCTTGTGCTTCCGGACCATCTTCGTTATGGTGTGTGTCTGCAAAGGAATATTGGAGAGGGAGTGTGGATGCGCTGATTGGAATGTCTTAAATTAGAAAGAGGATTGGAGATGGAAGAGGGGAAGGTGGATGCAGTGAGTGGGGAGGGGAGTATCAGGTATTGTGTGGAGAGAGGGACACTTGCCTTGGAGCGCACTTTCTGCTGCCAAGTTTTTGCCCTCCCCATTCGTTCCAGCATACCCGCTTGCTGCTGCTGCCTCAGTACGCCGTCGCCTCCAAAACATGACTCCCAGCAGCAGAAGCGCGAGGCCAAGCACCACGGCAGCAGCAGCAATGCCAGCAATAGCTGCCGTGGACATGCCGCCTCCAGACTGGGAGGGAGCAGCTGCAGGTTGACTGGCAGTTGAGGTGGTGGGAGGAGGTGGAGAGGGTGTGGGCACTGGTGATGGGGCGGGGGAAGGCGAGGAGATGGAAGGTGGGGCTGGAGAGGGGGAGGAGGGTGGGGAGGGTACTGAGCCTGGGGAGGATGGCGTTGTGGAGTTGGTAGGTGGAGGGGGAGAAGGGGAGGATGCTGTAGGGGTGAGGGTGTGGGTAGGTTTGGTGGTAAATAGGGGTGAGGGGGAAGAGGGGAAATGGAAGAGGGGGTGAAGTGAAGGTGCAATGGAGGGAGGGAAACCCCAGAGGGATAACGGATCACACGGAGTAGCTGGACGAGCTGCTGATTTGATCTGATCAGATCTGATCTGATCTGATCTCTGCAGACAGGCTGGCCACAGGTGCATGGCAAAGAACGTTCGGTACTGCAAGCACTAGCAAATTCCCAAAACTAGTAGGCAATACATAGTCGTCTCAATGGAGAGGGTGGTGGGGAGACGACGGAATGGGGCATGGGGCGAGCACAGGGATCGTATTTGGAGGCCAGGGGGTGGTGGGGGGACGTAAGGGGGTGGCCCAGCCGACCAACTCCCACCTCATACACATAGATCTTTTATTTTTAGGCAACTTCTTCGAAGCTGACTGGTCATTCCATTGAAGTGGGATGGTGTCAGTAGCCTCACGAATGTTCATAGGGGCTAATAATGCGCAGAGGAGCCCTGCGCGCCAGGCAGACATGATCAAAACGCGATTGCGATTTAAATCGCATCGCATGCAGGTGCGATGTTTAAAAAAGCGATGCGATTTTAAATCGCATCGTGCGATTTATTTTTCAAAAATAAAATAAAATCGCACATCGCATTTTACCCGCGATGTATTAAAAAATCGCATGCGGTATTTAATTGAATCGCGCAATGCGATTTTAAATTGCATCGCGTTTTAAAACAGAATTAAAAACACCCCAAAAAACAGAAAAAAACCATGGCTGCAGGGAAATTGACTCACGGGCAGTCGTAAGCTAGAGTGCAAATAACCAGTGTGGTTCCGTAGTGGGTTTCAGAGTGGGTTTCAGTGCAATATCGCGCGCGATTTTTAAAAAATCGCATATCGCATTTAAATCGCGTTTTTTAAGCGCGATTAAAATGCGATTTAAATTCAATCGCGCGATATTAATTCATCGCATCGCGCGATGATTAAAAAAAAAAAAAAAAAACATCGCCATCGCAAAAACGCGATTAAATGCGATGCGATGCGATTTTTTTTGCCCATGTCTAGCGCCAGGGGGGAGATAAATCGGGGTGAGTGAAAATGCTTTCAGTCATACGCAATGTGCTGAAGTAAAGAACAGAAACACCGTGCTCAACAAGAGGATGGAAAGGGAGACAGAAGAAAAGGAGGGTCGGAAATGGAGAGAACAGGAGAGAACAGGAGAGCCTGGAAACGGATTGTCTCGTGCAGGATATTATTTTTGAGGCGCCTCATGGCTATCATCGCCATCATGGCTAAAGACAATTGTCTCACGTGTGGGAGAGGGCGGTTCCGTAATACAGGTGGAGCAGAAGGTTGGGCACGCCTTGCAGAAAGCGCTTGACTGAGTCTGTGGGACCACACAGCTGCTTTTGTCACGTGGGCATGTGATTGTCGTGTTGGTGATGTCCCTGCAGGTGCACAGAAAAGCGTTGCACAGAAAAGGTACAGGTTCAAACAAGGGGGGAGCCTCTATCTCTCTCAAGCGCTTCCTCAAGCCTCCTCACTGATGGAAACCTTGGTAGGAATTTTGACATGGCCGGGGCTGGACAGGACGAATGATCTGCGACCCCCAGGGTTGCTGCAGGGTGAAGCTAGAGTGTGATAGGTGTTCAAGAGTTAGCAATGAGAGCTACCGGTGCTCTTGGTTGGTTGGATGAACTTACAATGCATAAAGGCGGGTAAGGCGGCCCAATGTCGGAGGGAGCTCGCCAGTGAATTTGTTTAGGGTAAAATCACTGCAAGCAGAAAGGACAAAACACATGCAACAACAATGACGACGACGACAACAACAATAGCCATGCTAGGGTTTTGTCAATATTGCTGATGATTATTCAGCCAGATTAAAAAGTCAGCTCTCAGAAACGGTTTTCTTGATAGCACAACCAGCTAAAAGCTCACAATTATCCAAGTGAATAGTAGGATACACCCGAGGGTGATTTCGTGGATAAGAGGAAAAAATCCAGAAATACCTAAATCACACCGTCTGTCTATGGATGTGAACATACTGTAGCACATACAGGTGTGTAAGCTTCACTAGCTTGCTCATGGATCCAGGAATGCTGCCACTTAACCTGTTATTGAACAGGTATCTGGTGGGTTGAATTCATAACGAGAGTACATAATTTAGCGAAGGCAGTGGAAATGTACAAACAAGGCTTTCTGCTTGCAAGAAGCATGAGCAATACGGTGGCTCATACGTAATAATATATATACTGTGAAACACCGCACGTGCAGATATTTCTGTACCACGAGAAATTGCAAGTAACTCAGCCCTTACAAACCATCCAAGTTGATGAGGTTGCCAATGCACTCTGGAATGGACTGAGAGAGAGCGTTATAACATAAATCCCTGCGTCCATCATTAGCAACAAGCAAGCCATCACGGAGAAAAGAAGGGTTCTTTCTAATCCGTTCTCATGCCTTTTGATGCAGCACTGCCATATGCAAGCAGACAGAAGCTGAAATAATATCGAATGCTTCAAGAAAAAACTGCACCATTCCTTCCTATCATCCACGCCAAAAATGAGGTAGGGGGTGGGGGGGAAATCAGCTTATTCCCATGATACTCACGCAAACAATGAGCACTCGTTACTGGGGATGAGCATAGACCCGAACCGGCCCCGCCCAGCCCAAATTTGGTCAGCCTGACTTGGAAGTTGGAAGACAGGCCGGGCTGGGCTGTGTCGGGCCACAATCGGGCCGACTCCAGAAAATTTTCATTCCCGGAATAGGCTGCTTCGTCACCGTCTTCTGGATCAGGTAAGAAGTTGGGGCCGATGCGTTCTGAAACATTTGTGTCGACCGGGTGGGGTGTAATGTAACCTTGGTCAGCGAAGTGGTAAAAGGTGTCGAGGTTGTTACTATCGAGGGGATTGTCTTCGTCTAGTGGAACAGGTACGGAACAGAAAGGGAGTGGTTCGGCAGCTTCCGAGGCTCCAGGTACGTCTTCTTCTGCTGCGTCAGCCTCGGCAGCACGGTCGGCAAAGGAACGAAGGCCCGCGAAGCCGTCGGTGGGGTCGTGTGTGTTGGCAATGTTGTCCAGGTAATGCTGCAGCGTCAGTCGCTCGTAGAAGATAACGTCACGTGATGCCACTGTATTTTTGTCTTGTATGTCGAGGATTTTCCATGCGTGAAAATGTTTTGCGATGCCGAGGTGTAGTCCCCACCGAGCTCGTTGAGTGAAGCGTCCTGCTCGGGCTGTGTGAGGTCTGTACTGTACCATGCAACCGAAAACTCGAAGTAATTTTGTGCTGCCCCTTTTCCGTGTCCACAGCAGGTGCGGTGATGCGTTGTTGGGAAGCGATGACGAGGACAACAGGTTGTGCAGGTGGACTGCATGTGTCATCGCGTCTGGCCACAGTGTGGTGGGTAGTCTCATCCCCAGGAGCAGCTTCCGCATCGTCGTCTGCAAGGTCCGGTTCATGCGTTCTGCGACCCCCTGCTGCTGGTGAGCGTAGGGCAGGGACACCAGGCGTCTAATTCCTCTTTCCGCCAGATAGGTCCTGAAGCATTGTGACTGGTATTCCAGTGCACCGTCTGACTGGAAGCTCTTGAGCTTGGTTCCTGATTCCCGTTCGGCGATGGGTAGCCATGTCGTGAAGGCGTCGAAGGCTTGATCGCGCGTCTTAAGGTTGTATTGCTAGACGTATCTTGTTGCTGCGTCGATAAACGTGATGACATAGTTGAAGTCGGCTTCTGTGTCTTCTCGAGGCATGTTTAAAATGTCGCTGTAGACTTTTTCCATCGGTGCGTATGCAGGTGCGCTTGGGTTGTGATGAGATGGAAAGGACTGGTGGGGAAGATCGGCTTCGGGGCACGTAAAGCACCGGGCGCGTGGTCGTCGAAGTTCTTGGCCGCTCGTTGTTAGGAGAGCGTTGCGTTCTAACACTTCGGCTTGGATGGTTTGCAGTATTGTACTGTTTGCAGGGTGTCCGAGTCGTTGGTGCCAGATGTCGTCGGAAGCGCGATGGCCGGGCGAGCGGTGGTATATGTCGGTGTTAGAGAAGAACGCGACGACTGTGGCGGGACTTCGACAGACTTCTCGCGTGATGGGCATAAGTTGATCTGCTTCGGTTGGTGGTCCTCGGATCGCTGGTGGCGGTACTCGGCTGGGACCTGCTGCTGCTACTGCAGGTGATGGTTGTGAAGTTGCACTTGTTGGTACTTGTCTTTCTTGTCTGATGACTGCTAATGCTCGTGTTCGCTCTGCTGCAGGTATGGTGTTGGAGTGCCAGAATCCATCAGGGTCGAAGTCGGGGTCGAGATCCGGCGGGTGTGTCCAGGCGGCGAACGATACGATTCCGTCGCTGTCGGCAGTACCGCGGTCGGGGACGAAGTCCAACACGAAGACGCCAGACTTCAGGAGAGCACGACCGATGAAGAGACCGCCCTTCCCGTGGTAAAGGCGAAACTCGTTGGAGTAGGAGTCGCACTCCAGGTGAATCCCTTTTGCCATTAGCTGACTTACGCTTAGTAAGTTGTATCCCAAGTTGTCGACGATGAGGACCTTGTTGAGTTGAAGTATAACATTTGTCTCCATCGATTGTAACTGAACCACGCCTTGTCGGTTTGTTTTCAGGTTCTCGTTGTTGGCGACGGTGATGATGACATCACGGTTGAGGCGTCGTTCTCGTTGCACAAAGCGTCCGGAAGAACACATGTGTTGTCCGCAGCAGCTGTCCAAGAACCAGGTATTTTGCCCGGTGGGTTCGGCGTTGGCGACCGCAGCGTATGTCGGGTTGACCTGAAGTCCTTGTGAGCGCGGCGGCGGGAGTTCCTCTTCGTCTGGCGCGTAAGTGGGTGGTGATCCGGGTGCGCAGTTGTTGATGTGTACCATGCAGTTGATAATGTTTGGTGTTCCTTGTGCAGATGTGGAGGAGCGCCTTGGAGGGCTTTCTTGAGTGGAAGCGACTTGTGGGTCTACTGGTCGATAAACACGAGGATGTGTGCAGTTGACTTTCGAGTGTCCGGAGGTCTGACAGTTGTGGCAGAACGGCGGTACGAAGGTGAGTCCTCTATTGTCACGTTGATCTTGCTTGCCGCGTTGATTGTAGTTGTTGTCGTTCCTTCGTTGAGTGTAGAAAACTAACTGCTGCTGCTTCCTTGGTTGTCTTTCTTCGAACAGGTCCATCTCCTGTTGTTCAGCGTGAAGCTCGGCGCAGAGATGCATCTCCGAGATCCTTCCGTGGGCGCGAAGGAGCGAGCGAGTGGTTCTCCATTCTGGCCCGAGCCCGGCGAGGACAAGCGTCACGAAGCTTTCTTCAGTGATTGTTCCTCCGCACCGAAGCAGGCGGTCGCGGAGGGTCTGGCAGCGACTCATATACTGCATCGCCTTTTCCCCGGTCTTCATCTGTATTGTTGTCAGTTGTTGCATGAGTCTGCTTTGGGTCACGCTGTCGTTTGCTTGATAGAGACACTTGAGATGATGCCATGCGAGTTCCGCGGAGTTTCCATAGCTTCGATATGTTCTGATGCTCTGCTGTTCTTGTGGTGACAGGTTCCGCAGGAGAGCTGTGTACGCCAGCAGCGACTGATAAGTAAATATTTCTTGCTCTTTTGCAGTGCCGTTGCTTGGGAATGGCAGGGACCCATTGAAGTATCCCAGGAGATGCGCAGCCTCCATCAGCAGCTCGAACTCGAAGCTCCAGGTAAAAAAGTCATGTCCGTTGAACGGTGAGGATGTCTGTAACTTGATGACGTGTGAAAATTGCGCCTGGAGACTTAAAATCTCATTTGGTGTCTGTTGTGATGCAGCTGCTGTTGGTTGGGCACGGGGCGGCATGAACTCGAATGTCCCTGGTGACGAGTGATAAGGCGCAAAGGTAGGTGCTTGATTGTGTCGCCCGAACGATGAGTTGTCGAGGCTCATCGGCGCTAATCCCATGTTTCCTCCGTTGCTCTGTGTTGAATGAGCAGGTGTCCTTGTCTGCTGCTGCTGGTCGAAGTGCGACATGAAGCTAAAAAACCTTTCCATAAGGTTTGGGTCAACGCTTGAAGACGGTGATGGGGTCACCATTTCCGGTGTTCTTCCTGTTGTCTCTTGAGCAGCGCCGGTCTCGGTCTGCAGTCCTGAAGTGTGCAGCCCAGAGTTGCCGTGTTGAGTGTCTTGGGCACTGGGTGAGCCCGTAGAGGTCTTCTTGCCCTTGTTGTCCATGACTTGTGGTAAATAAAGTCGTTGGTGTGTTGACTGTAGATAGAACGTAGTTGATGGGAGTTTGGTCTCTGACCAGCTCTCATACCATGTTGGGCTGAGAAAAGCCCTTAGGATCTTTCCTGAGACTAAGTCCCAGTTGTAGAATGAGACTTGAGTAGTGCAGCGGAAGTTGAGTAGTTGAACTCTTGTACTAGTATATGAGAACAAGTGATTGATTAAAGAAACAAGCATACAGAAATATATAGAAAGTAAGAAAGCAGTTGTAGAATACAGTTGCAGGAGCGGTTTATCGAGTCGCACAGCGACTCGATTGTCGCTTCGGTTACCATCCGCGCTGTTGTAACGGTCAGTCGCAACCTCCAGTTGCAACCCTTCGAGTCCCTTCGCGTTCTTTGTCCACCCCCTCGTGTAACCTCCGTTGACTCGCGTACCTGTTGCGATCTACCTCGAGTGTAGTGTTACACTTCAGAAACGCTTAAGTCCTTCAAGATATTTCCAACAGAAATCAACGGCTGCTGTATCTCGATGGCCTCGTACGCGATGAACGAGAATCTTGGACGGCTCGATTGTTGGCTCGGGTACTGGGTTGACCGTAGGATTGATGTTTTGACGGTCGAGATTAGTCGTACTCGGGACGAACGGTCGCAGGAGACTGACGTGGAACGAATCATGGATTTGCTAGTCAATCGGCAGTTGCAGCTGGGTGGTGAGTGGTCACCATGCGGATGAATCGGAATGTGCCGCAAAATCTTGGTCGTAATTTATTTGGGAGGGGAATTCCCAAATTTATGGTGTCGAGCATGACCAATTGCCCAAGAGCAAGTGTTAAATCTTGGCGTTGTCAGTCAGCTTGCTGCTTAGCCATCTGGTTGGCTTTGAGGATGGCATCGGCAACTTTTTGCTGAAACTGTCGGAGGTTTTCGACGAACTGCTGAGATCTTGGTGCCGGGTTTTCTATCGGGGGTGATGGTGGGGTTGTCGGATCTATTCAGTAATTAAGGAAGAACGAGGACTTAGTAGTCGTGGCCGATAGGGCATTGTTGTACACAAACTTGATCAAGGGAAGGGCGTCTTCCCATTGGGCTGGGTCTGTGCACGTCGTGCGAAAAAGCTGCTCCATCGTCTGGTTGGTATGCTCAGTCTGGCCGTCCGATTGCGGGTGGTTTGCCGTGGACAGATGCAGACGTGTGCCATACTACTGCCAAGTTTTTGTCCAGAAGTTGGACGTGAACCATGGGTCATGATCGCTGATGATTGCCGAGGGGATGCCGTGTAGCCGCACGATGTTCGTGAGGAACAGTTTCGTTGTCTGCTCGGCAGTAATTGTCGTCTTGCAGGAGACGAAGTGGGACATCTCGGTCAACCAATCAACGACGACGAGGATCGCGTCGTTACCGCTTGGACCAGCTAGCAGGCCAGTGACGAAATCCATCGTCACTTGTCGCCAGGGTCGGCTGGGTGGCTCTAGCAATCCCGCAGGTTGAAGTCGGGAAGACTTCATGCGTTCACACGTGGCGCAGAAGGTGGCATAGAGCTGCACGTCTGTCGGCAGGTCGAGCGAGTAATAATTATGCCTCAGTAATTTGGCGGTTTTGTCGACGCCGTAGTGACCCGAGAAATTCGAGCCATGTGTCTCCTGGATCAGTAATTCCCGTAGGGTACGATAGGCGTGAACCCAAAGCCGATTGGTACCGGATTTTAGGTAATAGGCCCCTTGCTTGTCCGTCACTTGGGGATGACTGTTAGTGGTGAAGAAGCGGTCAGTACTGTATCCGTGGGTGAATAGGCTAGTTAGCAGCGGATTAGCTTGGGTAATTAGGACGGCGGCGGTGTGGACTGAAGAGCGGGTCAGTATATCGGTGATGTTGCTAACCCCCTGTTTATAGCTGACCCTTTAGTGTAAGTTGGACTCGAGGTAGTAGAGCCAGCAAATCTATCAAGGATTCAGTGTCGGTTGGGCGCGGATGAAATGTAGTGATTTGTGGTCTGTTTGGATTGTCACGTAAGCGCCCTTCAGGTAGCAGCGCCAGACTTTGAAAGCATGAACGATGGCGAGTAACTCCTTGTCGTGGACAACATAATTTCGCTCGGTCGGATTCAGCTTTCGTGACTCGTAGGTGATGGGTTGGAGGCCTTCACCAAAGTCTTGTAACAGTACTGCGCCAACGGTGAGATCGCTAGAGTCGGTGATGAGCTCGAACGGACGGTGAAGAACTGCAATCCGAAAAACCGGAGGTGTAGTCAGGAAAGTTTGAGCTTTTCGAACGTAGTCTGCTGCTCTCCCCCCCACTCGTAAAACTTGCCATTCTGCAGGAGATCCGTGAGAGGGGATGTTACCCCCACCATGTTCGGAATGAAACGGCGGACGTAATTCGCAAACCCCAGAAAACACTCACTGTAAGTTCGCGGAGATTAGCCGGCCGCTTCCAGTCTTAGATTGTCGCAATCTTCTTGGGGTCGATTTTAACACCGTCGATGGAAATGACGTGGCCCAAAAACTCCAGTTCGTATTTTAGAAACTCTCACTTAGAGCCCTTGGTGATGAGTCGGTGCTGCTGCAAGAGAGAAAATACTGTTGTCAAATCCTTCATATGCTGCTCCCAGGTAGTGCTGTAGACGAGGATGTCGTCGAGGTACACGATGACGCATTTATCCAGCAGCGGCCAAAAAACCTCGTTCATGGTTAACTGGGACGTCGAAGGCATGTTTGTTAAGCCAAAAGGCATAACCGTGTACTCGTAACTTCTGTATTGGGTCCGAAACGCTGTTTTGTAGCAGAGTTTGTGAATCACCATCGCCAAGTCATCCGGGACAGCTGTGCAGAGTTTGTCGATGTCGGTCGGCGTGTCAACAGCCGTTGATGCGATCCATCGGACAGCATACAGTTCCACCCCTCAAATTATTGCTCTCTTGATCGTCACCGCGCTGACCGTCAATTTGGTCGAATTTTGGCAGCTCCACTTGGGTAGTCGTCGCCACTCTCCACTCCACTTTATGCGACAATCGCCCGTCTGCCACTCGATGCTTGGGTTGTATTTGCGTAGCCAATCGCGTCCCAGCAGCACGTCGCACCCGTCCAAAGTTGTCGCCAGCATCTTCATCGTGAAACTGAAATCTTCACCGCATGTTACTCGCACGTGAGGTACCCACTCCCGAATTGCAAGTGGTGTGCCGTCAACCAATCTCGCGTCGAATTCGGACATGCAGCGCTCCAGCTACAATCGCAATTTTTTCGCCTTCGTCACGTCCATCAAACTGTGGCTCGCCCCACCATCAACGAATATTTTGATGCGGGTGTCGCCAACACTTCCTTCTACCAACACAGGGCGATCAACCGGTTCACCCCCCTTATTCAGCCAGGAATGATCGATAGCCCAAATCGGCACTATAACCTGGTGGGGGTGGTGGCATTTGGGCGACGCAGTCAAGTCAGTAAGTGGCCCACCTGCTACTCACGATCTCCATTTCCCGACTGCTTTTTATCATTAGCTAAGTTCCTGTTCAGCTGCGGGCAGTCCCTCACCATGTGACCCGGCTGGTTGCAGTGGAAGCAGGTGCCCGAAAATACTGGGGCTGCAAACATGTCCACGCCATTGATTGATGTGTGTTGGGGCTGACCTTCAAAGCGATTTCCCTCCCGAAAACCCACTCTCGCGAGTCCACGTCATGCATCTAGCGCGCCTGCTATGCGAAATATTTCGTTGAATGTCGCCGGGGCTCGGAGGACGATCTCTTGTTGAATCTCCGCTTTGAGACCACCCACGTAGCGATCGATACAATCGCCTTTGCTAAGCCCTCCAATTTGGTCGCAGATTGCTAGAAACGACGCCATGTATTCTTGGACATAGCCCAACTGTCTCCACATCCGAAGCTTTGTGTGAGCATTTTCACGCATGGATATGTGCTCGAATCTGCCCTTCAATGCTTTGCCATACGCTTTCCATGTGCGGATCATGGCTGACCCAAAGATCGGTTCTACCTTCGCTGTTGATGAAATGTGCTCCCCATCTACCGCCCGTTGATTCCCTGTCGGGGCTCCTCCCTCGTCCAGATGCATGCGCCACCAGTCGAGTGTCGGTCCCCTCAGCAACGATACAGCCAAGTTAACACGTAATGCGTTGTCATTAGTACTTGCTGCTGTGATGAAGATTTCCATGGTGAACAGCCACCCGCTCACTGTAGTTGTCCTATCGGTCGGTTTTAACGGTGGTGGCATCAGAGGTTTGATTTTAATGGCCGCCCACTGTTCATTGTGGACTTCTTCAACTGCTTCAGGTGTTGCCGACGCCCTCGCTTTGCTCGTAGCATCTTCGTCTCGGGTAACAGGCCGCCCCTGACGCGTTTCACCCCGCGTCTGGCAAAGCGACGCGTTTTCGGTGTGCAGCGTCTGCACCTTGCTCCCCAGCGTCTCGAACTTATCAGCAAGTTGTTGAAGCTGGGCCTGCAGTGTCGTCTCTGTAGTCGCCCTGGCTTGCAACTTGTCAAACTCCTCTTGAGTCACGTTCCTAACACTACGACGGGCAGAGGTTTCCGGTGTGGTCATACTGGAAATTTTACGTGACAGATCTGAGGGTGCACACGCTTTTAGTTGGAGGAGCTTTAACAAGCTCACCTACCAACCGCAGGCCAACCCCCTATTCTGTCGGGTCCTCTCCTGATATAAACGGACTACTCTACAGAAGACTAAGCGGGCAGGAACGGAGCTCTGATACCAGCTATTATGAACTAATCAGAGTAATAAAAGGTAGTGTAATAAAGGAGTCGTGATTCAAGAGTCTCGATACAAATGAGGGCCTAGGCATTTATAGGCACAAACAGAGCTAGCCGAGAACCACACGAACACGTTGGGGCGGTCATGTTGGCGAAAGCCACGGAAGCACCGCGCGTCTAGGTTTGGGTTCGCGAAGTGGTTCGAGACCGAGAAAGTTGGCCGAGCCTGGACTTCCGAGAGTCGAGGGCGTACGCGCTGTAGTCAAGCCCAGTAAGGAAAACGGAATTTCCTTACAATATAAGCCTTATGTCTCATTTGGATAGGAAATTCTGTACTCACGTTCCCCTTATTGAATACTGCGTTACACTCTAACTTATAATTGATAACAGTTGGTACCTGAGCTACGTTCCTGTCCATTAGGTTTCCGGTAGGGGAGCAGACCCTATCGAGGAAGGGGGCGGAAGGATGCTGATGGAGAGCGGACGTCGCGGAGATTACTTGCGCGGGCGTTGTCGATGCCGTCAGATCCTGCCTGATGGACGGTTGGGAGAAGCTGGTCCTCCCCTTCCCTGGTCGTAGACGGAACTATTCTCCGTCGAAGTGTGGGCGACGTTTTCGCCATGTTTTTCGGGTATGTTCGTTAGAGATTTCGTAATTTTCGGGTGTTCGGATGGAGTCTTCGGATTGGCTTCCGAAATAAGCGAAGGCTTTGTCATGAGGAGACAACTCCACGAGAGTTCTCAGGCGGCCGGGAGTTGGTCGTCAGGAGCGTGCAGGGTGGCAAAAATGGCGGGATGTACGTCAATGTATGTCTGGTGCGCCATGAAGCTGCAGGGTGAACTGTAGCTGTATCGGGGTACCGGCGTTTCTGGCACGCTAGTTGCAGACGATGGACAGGATGTCAAAACTGTTTCGGCAATAGGCAGATCCAACAATTTCGGAACGACACGATCGCACGAGGACGTGTGGGTGTGCCGTTGCGTGGGAGCAGCTGTGATTAACGACCTCAGCGCTATTCACCACGACGGCCATCTAGAGGTGATGACGCTATGCTGGAGTAAGTGTACTCTGCAAGGACGACTTCCTGCGTGGGGAGGCGTTTTTCGTGGACCAGCGATTCATACCCCCACGATCAACGGAAACGGAGGCCACCACCCTTAGGTGTATATTAAGTGTTTTTCCACTAGTCGCCGAAAGCATTATTTGTCAGGAGCTGAATCAGTGGACGAAGAACGTCGGGAGTACTGGAACTGTTAAGTGTTCGCGGCGTTCGGGCTGCTGCTCGCTCAGCTACGTCGCCCGAATATCACCATCCCCACCAGGTAGCACTGTCGACTTATTAATCGACGGCTCTTCGCTGAATAAGGGGGGGTGAACCTGAGAACTACACTGTGGTGATGGTATTAGAATAGCAGAATGATTGAAATGAGAAGTACAGAGTGGTTTCGACCTAGTGAGACGTACTCTCTAAGGCATGCCCCTATCTAGGCTATAGAAACATATACAAATATGTTTGACACACCCCCTAGACTGGACAAGGGGCAGTGCCGGGAAGAAGACACAAAACTCAGGGCGGCACTACTAGCCCAACCAATGACACAAGGGTCCAAAGACCAGTCAGCAAGAGTATGAACCCAACAAGAGCAAACAAGGGAGGCACTACTATTCCAGCCACTAGAAGAGAAGGTATAAGGCCAGTCAAGAAGGCATATATAAAGAGTAGTACACAATCAGGGTCCTAGCAGGTGGGTAGCTACCGGAACTAGACCAAGCTGCAAACAGTGCCGCTGATGATCTTTAGGCGCAAGTGCCTTAGTAAAGATACCAGCTGTGTTGGCGACGACGCTGCTGTAGCTCACGCAGGAGAAAGTACCGCAGCTGGATGTGCTTCGCTCTGCCCTCAAGTCGAGGCTCCTGACACAGGACGATCCTGGCCCTGTTGTCAGCGAACTTCTGTTCTCCTAAGTTGGTGGCCCCAGGGCAGAGCTAGGCCTCTCACCTAAGTTGGTGAGCAATAAGGTTAGCCAGCAGAGCTCCTGTACGGCCATGGCACCGGCATAGATCTTAGCCTCCCAGCTAGACTGGGCAACAGACGATGAGCGAGTGGACCTCCACGAGATCGCACCCGAACCAATGCTAAAGCAGTAGCCCTGGGAGGACCTGAGCATCTCAGCGTCGACAGCCCAAGAAGCGTCTGTGTGCCAAGTAAGGACCATTGGCCTGCGGCCTCCTAGCACTAGCCCCATGCCCGATGTACTTGCTAGATAACGCAAAACCCTCTTAGCGGCTGACCAGTGCTGTGGTCGGTGTCTGCCTGGCGCCACAAAGTGAGCCAAGATGCTGAGAGGGTATGCGAGATCTGGACGAGTGCATGTCATCAGGTACATGAGGCAACCCACCAGCTCGTCGTAAGCACCACTCGGCTCTACTGACTCCTCAGGAACTGGAGCTGAGAGCCTGTGATCTACTGGCACAGGTGTGGGCTGTGAGGAGGAGAACTGAAGACCGAACCTCTGAAGGACCTGGCGCACCAAGTGTGACTGAGTGAGAGTGATGGTGTGCGCTGCTCTTTACCTGGAGATCTACAGGCCAAGGTAGCGGCGCAGCTCTCCTAGGTCAGTGCATGTGTGTCTCTTCAGCAGCTCGGCCTTCACAGAGACCAGTGCTTCTCTGTCGGCAGTAGCGAAGACCAGGTTATCTACGTAGACCAGGCCGTAGAACGGAGTCTGGCCAGCACGAACGAAGAGCGAGGGGTGTGCAGAAGACGGAAAGAACTGCAAGTCAGCTAACGTTGCACGCAGCGTGTCGTGCCACTCACGAGGCGCCTGTCGCAGGCCGTAGACCGGGTGCCGGAGGAGCCACTGGGTCCCAGGAGGGAAGGTACCAGTGAAGCCCTGCGGGCGGCACAGGTTGACCTGCTTGTGTAGGCTGCCCTAAAGAAAAGCAGTGGAGAAGTCGAGGGAGTGGAGCTCGTAGTCACGCTAAGCTACTACATATAGCAGCGCCCGAAGAGTAGTCATCTTCGGGGTCGGAGCGAAGGTCTAAAAGAAGTCCACCCCCTCACGCTGACTGAATCCTCTAGCCACGTAGCGCG